CAGGCCGCGTCGCGGGCGCTGGCGGGCTCCGCGGGCCCCGGGTCCGCGCTGGTGGACGTCAACGTGTACCTGATCGTGGCCATCTGCGCGGTGTCCAGCCTGATGGTGCTGACGCTGCTGCTGTACACGGCGCTGCGGTGCTCGGCGCCGCCCCCCGAGGGCGCGTGCGGGCCGGGCAAGCCCCCGCTGGTGTGCTCCAGCGCGGCGGGGAGCTGGTCGTCCTCGCGGCCGAGGCGGCAGAGGGTGTGCTCAGGGGAGGGCCCGCCCAAGACCGACCTCATGGCTTTTAGCCCTAGTGTTCCTCCTGGTTCGGGATCTGGGGACAGTGGCGTTCAACAGATTTTCGAGAATGTAAGTACCGTAATCCTTGGATGTAATTCATACCTATTAATGTCACTCATATAGTAGCTCACTGAATTATTCCTGTAATTTCATTACCTCAGTTTTTGGTTTTTGCTTTTGTCTGAGATTGCTTATTTAAAGTACACTGGCAGTCTAGCCATCCTTATCACTTTTCACTTCAGTGATCATAAGTATTCTTTAGAAACATTTTTCCGTCGGTATTATAATAATATTAGTAATAATGAAATAGGCTGAGTACACATTTCCTATGAAGGAGGAAAGTTAAGTCTTCCAGGAAGGAGGGAAGGATCATGATGGGAAATGTAGGGCTAGGGAAAGGTTGAAATCTACTTCTCAATTTTGTAGCAAGTTCATTCTTCCCATCCATCTTCTTATTTTAATTGGTGTCCTCCACTTTTTACTGCACTTATGTTTTCATAATTATAATTATATTTAATTTCATAATTTATTTGAGTTTAAAACACGTTTATATTTTTATCTTCCTACACTTTGTAAGTTTATCTGTCATTAATTTGGATGGGCAGGTTTAAGGCACCTTTATTTCATAAGCAATTTTGTTACTTTATAATCGAGGGCCATCTTCTTTGAAATGGTGGTTGCGGTGTGTGTAGTTTAGCCTTGTCTTTTGAGGTGAATTTTACTTTTGAATTTTTGTCTTTAATTCTCTTATAAGTTCGCACTCATTTTCTTCATAGTCTACTACTGTTTCAGATAGATAACATTTTGTTGTTTATTTCCTAACAGTATGTCAATTCTGCTCTCCTTCAGTTTAAGTTATTGAGCTCTTCTACTTTTTGATGATTTAATTTGAGCATTGATCATACTCATTTTTCTTCCATTCTTAGTATTGGTCATGAAACTGTATAAAAATATTTTAGGGTAGAGAAATTCACACTTCTTTGTGCTTTGAGTTTAAGAGGGTCTTCCCATATACGGTGAAGTGCAACATCATTGCCCATGTTCACCAAGCTGCATAGTCTTCAAAATGACATTTTAAATAACTTAAGCATAAGAACCCATGGAGGCCATGTATGGTGGCTCCCACCTGTAAACTCAGCACTTTGAGAGACTGAGGGGAGAGGATCATTTGAGGTCAAGAGTTTAAGATAAGCCTGGGCAACATAGCAAGATCTCATCTCTCCAAAAAATATTTTAAAAATTAGCCAGGTATGGTGGTGCAGGCCTGTAGTCCCAGCTACTCAGGAGGCGATGCCTGAGCTGAGGAGTTTGAGGTTGAGCTCCAACCTCAGCAACAGAGTAAAACTTTGACACACACATACGTGCATGTACACATATATATGCATGTACACACACGTGCGTGTACACACACAACCATGGAATATCTATAAAGGTGCTTCCACTTGACAATTGTGATGGTGTATACACCTTAGAATTTAACAATGATATACTGGATACATTTGCTGCAAACCATTTTTTGGTCTCAATACCATATTCATATAAATTGTTTTTTCCCCCCAAGAGATCTTTAGAGCTGTAAAGGTATGTATCAAATAATGTGGAAGATTACTTTGTTCTTTTGGATGTAATTACAAATGCGATATCCTTTAATTCTACTATAGGGAGAAATACATATAGTACGTTTACATGTGGGATGAGAACTGTGTTACAGGAAGGGTAAAATTAATAGAAATACTGAGATGGCATTTGTGGCTATTTTCTACCTAGAAAGATGGTTTCTGGGAGGATAATTTTCTTAAAGATGAACATTAGCAAAATCTTCAGAAAAGAAAAACCATGCTCCATGTCCTAGTTTATGGTGCTGGAATTCTCTTCATCCATAGCCATAGAATAGAAGGAAATATTAATCACTAACCATAATGAACTATCATTGTTTGAGCCATTTATGTTTGTTAGACTTGGTGTGAAGGGCTTGGACACATTATTTTATGTAATCCTTTGTAAAGTACATATGACTGCCCAAATTTTAAAGATGAAATAAGAGAAACTGAAATATTTATCTATCATGCCAGTATCATACATGATGGAGATGATATTCAAATGCATATCTTTTAGACTTTGATCTATTCTTTTATTCATTATAACGTAGAGCTTTGTTCATTGATTTTTTACGGTACCAAATTGAAATGGGCATTAAGACATTTTATATTAAGTGATTTTTTCTTAGGTGAGTTCGTGATCATCATTATCATTTGTTTTAATCAATGTCATGCTGAGATAGGTATTTTCATTATTCAATTGATAAATAATTGAGAGTTTCCTATAAGAACTATGGATCTATTGTCTGAAAGTGGTATAAATAAAGAGAAGTGTTTAACATATAAAACAAATCAGAAGAGTGTGGTTTCCAATATCCTTGCAGAACACCCAAGAAGACAAATGCCATATACCAAAATGACCTCATTCTTTCTTCACTGTAAAGAAGGAGTGTTTTGGACAAATATAAGTGTCAATATGATTGTTTCAGGTATTCCAAACATGACCAAAGGATTCAAGGAATGTTTACAGTAGTGCATACTTCAGTAACTGTTTTAAAGACATAGATTTCCCATGGGACTCTTTAGATGTGTGTAGGTGTTTCAGGATTCAGTCTTAATCTTATTGTTGACTGAGAGGCTTGTGACAACTGAAAAAATGATTTGCAGCCAAATAACTGTTTTTACTTGACTAAGGCATGATAAAGCAGTATCAGCATCAATGAATAAGTCCTGTAATTTTGTTAATACAGTGGTTGGATCGAGTATTTCTATTCCGCTGATTTTAAAGAATTCCTGAGGTTCTAAGAGTGGCTTCAAAATTTATTTATGTGTTTTCAATAAATAATATCACTAGACCTGTAATATAATATTAGTGAATTAATAGTAGTACGACATTACACCATGCACTCTAATACATGTATGACTAGCAAGACATACAGGTAGAACTTAGGGTTAGCTAGATTGATTTAGTAAAGGTCAGAGACAACATTCCTCAATCTTCAATTGATTTTTACAAGATAAATGTTATCTGTATTGAAGTGAAATTTATCCATCCCTGAAGGTGAATTCAAAGAGAGCACAATCGCTTTGCTAGGGGCTACTTGAGATGGTGACATCTGAAATACCACAGCCAAAATGTAAAAGATAGCTCATTGAGTCTTACACTATATCAAATTCTTTGTGACTTGGTCTTCATCCAGTGTTTCTTTATATATTCACAAAATTCTGTATCATTGAGAAGGAATACCTATGTTAATATCTGGTTTTAATTCAAATATGTGATATTTTCTCTCCTGGGTAAACATTCTCATGTTCATTTCTCTACCTTGGGAGACTCCACATTGGATGTAATGTCTTAACACCCAGTTCCCATGATGAAGTGGATGAAAATCTGTTGCTTCAAGCTGGGCATGGTGGCTCACACCTGTAATCCTAGTACTTTGGAAGGTGGTGGCGAGAGGGTTGCCTGTGCCCAGGGTTCGAGACCAGCCTGGGCAACTTGATGAGACTTGTTGAGATCAACTTGATGAGTCTCATTTCATTGATCAATGTTAAAATTTGTTTTACAATTGAAAAATAATATTTCTGCCATATCACTGATTCTATTACATAAAGTGTCATTTTGATATTTCATATTATACTAATGTGACTTATGTAAGAAATTATATATGTCGGCCAGGCACAGTGGCTCAAACCTGCAATCCCAGCACTTTGGGAGGCTGACATGAGGGGATTGTCTGAGTCTACGGGTTTGAGAACAGCTTTGGCAACTTGGTGAGACCTCATTTCTACAGAAGAAAAAAAAAATTAGCCAGACGTGTTCGACTGTAGTTCCAGCTACTTGGAAGGCTGAGGTGGAAGGGATCACCTGAGCCCAGAAGGTCATCGCTGGGGTGACCATGAGCATGCCACTGCTCTCCAGCCTAGGTGACGGAGTGAGACTCCAATTCAGGGAAAAAAGGAAGGAAGAAAGAAAGAAAGAAAAAAAGAAAGAAAGAAAGAAAAAGAAATTATATATGTCAACTATAACATTTATCTAGATCAATAGACTTTTCCCATGTGAATTCTATGCTTTAAACTACCAAATTTGAAAATACAGTATTTGTTTTCTTATTGTTCTGCAATGGATAAAAAGTTACCTGTAACCAGGAAAAAAATTAAATGTAAAATAAAAGATTAAACAGTAAAGAATAAAAAATGGATATGAGAGGACAAGTCCGCATAGGCAAGAGCGTAGTATGCAGAACATAAAGACTAAAGCGCTGTGAATTATAAAATTTCAAAGTTTTTTGGAATTTCTTAGCGGACAGAGTAATAAGAAAGACTAAAAGTAAAACAATTCAATTTAATAATAGTTTTATATGAAGAACAACACTTTCAGGAAATGTTTAAGCTTATTCATAAGGCGACCTAAACAACTAAACAATCTATCTCCCTTTAGATAACAAAAAGAACAATTTTATACTCTAAGACATGGAAATAAGAATTTAAATTTGATGTTAGTTAAGAAATAAAATACCATTTCCACAGGTATTCAGTTTCAATAGTACTTAGAATGTTCCATAAATAAGCATTCTGGAAATATTATTTAAGGAAAAAACCAAAACACGTGAAATTAAATGGCGCATGTAGTGCACGGTACTCACAATTTTAGGCGCAAGATGTCGCTCTTTGCTAGGTGGAAAGAGTTCGTTCATAGGTTGGTCTGAACAGCCAGGCACTCCCCATACAAAGCGACTCCATCATGCCGGATGCTACCGTTAAAGAATCCTTTGAAACTTCTCAGAGATCCAGAAAGATTTTTAACCGGAAACTGAAGTAGCTGGTGTTGTAAGTGTAAAGAATCTTATTTTGGAATTCAATTTCGTATGCGATGTTCGGTTTTCAGAGAAGGGGATCGGGCGCTCTGCGACCACTGCTCTCGCTTCTTCTCCTCGCCTTCTGGGAGGCAGGGAGCGGCCAGCTCCACTACTCGGTCCCCGAGGAGGCCAAGCACGGCACCTTCGTGGGCCGCATCGCGCAGGACCTGGGGCTGGAGCTGGCCCAGCTGGTGCCGCGCCTGTTCCGGGTGGCGTCCAAGGGCCGCGGGGACCTTCTGGAGGTGAATCTGCAGAACGGCATTTTGTTTGTGAATTCTCGGATCGACCGCGAGGAGCTGTGCGGGCGGAGCTTGGAGTGCAGCATCCACCTGGAGGTGATCGTGGAGCGGCCGCTGCAGGTTTTCCACGTGGAGGTGGAGGTGAGGGACATTAACGACAACCCGCCAGTGTTCTCTCTCGGAGAACAAAGGCTACTGATTTCTGAATCTAAGCAATTGGACTCGCGTTTTCCGCTAGAGGGAGCTTCTGACGCTGATATAGAGGAGAATGCTCTATTGACCTACAGACTAAGTCCAAATGAGTATTTTTCTTTAGAATCATCAACAAACAGTAAGCAGACTAAAAGACTGTCACTTATATTAAAGAAGTCTCTGGATAGAGAGAAAACTCCGGAACTTAACTTGCTACTGACAGCTACGGACGGGGGGAAACCGGAGCTCACGGGCACTGTTCGGTTGTTCATGAGAGTCTTGGATGTTAACGATAACGATCCTGAGTTTGAGCAGACGGAATACAAGGTGAGCTTGATGGAAAACGCTGCTAAAGAAACTCTTGTGATAAAGTTAAACGCCACAGATCAAGACGAAGGGGTCAACGGGGAGGTATCGTACTCCCTGAAAGCAATCAAGCCCAGTGGAAGACCCTTATTTACACTAGATGAAAATAATGGAGAAGTGAGGGTCAATGGAACTTTAGATTATGAAGAAAACAAATTTTATGAAATTGAAGTTCAGGCCACAGATAAGGGGATTCCCCCAATGGCAGGGCACTGTACAATCTGGGTAGAAATCTTAGACGCCAACGATAACTCCCCTGAAGTGACCGTGACTTCCCTGTCCCTCCCTGTGCGAGAGGATGCTTCAGTGGAGACGGTCATCGCCCTAATCAGCGTAACTGACCTTGACTCCGGCGCCAACGGACAGGTCACCTGCTCCCTGACGCCCCACGTCCCCTTCAAGCTGGCGCCCACCTTCAAGAATTACTACTCGTTGGTGCTGGACGGCGCCCTGGACCGCGAGAGCGTGTCGGCCTACCAGCTGGTGGTGACCGCGCGCGACGGGGGCTCGCCCTCGCGGTGGG